AAGGTAAGAGGCGGGCGAGATCACGCGTGATCTCGGGCATTTCTCTCTGCTATTCGTTGTGGGATTTTTGGCATATACCCAAAAACTTTCGAGTTTGCGCGTTGGTGTTTTAGTATCCCGTGCGAGGAGAGTGACTTTAATATCAAAATCCTCTCCGCTAGGCTTTTGTATTCTATGCGTCCCTAGTGGCGTACCTTGCCTTTTCGTTTGCCATCTGGATGTTCTTTTGTGCGGATACATAAAGGTCTGCCCGTTTCGTCACTATAATCGTCTCCGCAAGTACTATAAGAGATCGGGTATATCGTACCTGAACTCATGCAGTCACCGTTCCTGCCATATGGGCAAATTCGCAGTTTGTTGTTTCACGTAAACGGTTATACAAGCGGTTACGAACTAACTGACGACGTAGAGTATCCGGTGGTATTTCAACTATCGCTACCGATTCCTCCAAATCTATCCTTCTTAAGCAGCGCTTTATCGCTGCACTTATTTCATCGCTAATAAAGGGTAAGATAGACGGGATTTTGTTTCGGCCAAACCCTTCGTTTTGGGGCGTGGCTCTTGCCCGCAAAAAAAAAGAGAACGGCAGATTTATAACCCAATGCTGAGATTAATAGAAAGTCGATATTGGGAACTATTAAAAGAAGTACCAGCAAAACATTTTCGACTTGCGGAGGAAACCTTGTCACTAAGACAAAAGACCGTCTTAGGTAGACAACAGATCCACTTTTCCGCCACTGCATTAAACATCGAGTCGTACCGAAGTTCATAAAACGGAAACGGCTTCAGAGGATATGCGGTAAACCAGTGGACAGCCAACAAGTACAAGACATCGAAATGGAGCTACTTCGGGCCGGACTACGAAGCAAACGGAACGATATGTTCGCAAGAAGGATGAAATATGTGATGAAAGCACATTTTTGTGCTTTGTATTTGGAGGATCAACTTTGGAGGAGAATAGTTGGTGGGTCAATACTAATATGCAATTCTATTAGGTCTAATGCTAAAATAACCTTACAGCGAAAGTTTGAGAATCTTTTAACTAATTAGCGTGTTTCGGCTTCAAGAAATCACAGACAAACGAACTTTGCTAGTAGTCAAAGTACGGTTGGTAAAGCACCAAAAAAGTCTAGAGTCACCGTACTTGGGGGCGTGACAATGCCTGAGAGTGCGCACTCGGTATTAGAATTAGGCCCAAGCTTTTCACCATCACAGCCCATTTCTAAAACAACCTTGCATAGGATCGCATGCAACCTTTATGAGCTTCAAGATCGACTCCGCTATCAGACTAAAAAACGAATATCAAATAAGCTGAAAATCAGGAAGCGGCAGCATTACCGCCATCTCCTTTCTCTAGAACGTTTTTCAGAAATCAGGACCTAACGACGAAATTGTCATAAAATTCCGCATGTTTTCGGATGACGTTTTCAAGACCCTTAATCACTACCGCGAAAGAAGGTTTATCTCTAACCTCACAGCCGCACAAAAATGTGGCTTGCGAGAAATTAGAGAATTAGTAAACTCTAAAACGATAAGGTTGTTTGCTAGTGATAAAAGTGATAAGTTTGTAGTTATTTCTCGCCAGATGGTTGTTGAGATAACAGAGGAACATCTTAGTGATGCTACCCTCTATTACCCATCCTCTGAAAAGGAATACAAACATCAATACCGAAAGCTAAACAATCAACGGGCTAGAGTGGCAAGGGCTGCAGGTTTAAAATCATCGGTTATTTCGCACCTTAAAATCAATAAACCGACATGCCCCATCTTATACCTACTTATTAAAGCACATAAGTTGGTATCATCTGATGATATTGCGTTAACCAATCCATTATCATTCAAGGTTAGACCCATCATCAGCTGTGTAGACAGGCCAAGGGATAGAATAACCTGGTTTTTAAGCCTAATACTTACCCAGTTACTTAACCACATTCCAGCCCACCTCACGAACACACAAGTGTTTCTAGGACGTCTACGTAACGAGTCTCCTAATAACGCGTACGTGATGGAGTCCTTCGACGTTACCGCGCTGTACACCAACGTGTCGAATGACTCCGCAATACAAGCCATCTTCGAACTTCTTGTTGAACATGAAGGAAGAATAAATATGCATGGTTTGCCCATCCAGCAGATAATGGCTCTCTTAAAGGAGTGCCTAAACTGCGCGATTTTCAGATGGTCTGGGAAATATTTCGCGCAAATAAGGGGGTTGGCAATGGGACAGCGATTGGCACCAAGCCTTGCCATTGTGTTTATGTCTAAGATAGAAGTCCCCGTTCTCTATCTCCGCCCGCTACTCTACCGCGGATATATAGATGATTGTTTCGTCGTTTTCTGCACACAAGAGGAGATGGACAAATGCTTTGAATTATTGAACGAGAGGTCATAGTACATCAAGTTCACCCGGGAAGCACCGAAAGACGGCTGGCTCCCGTTTCTAAACGTTCAGATTAACTTGTCAAGTAACGGCGGTTCATTCCCTCTCTTCCCATCCTTCACACACAAAGGGGGCGCTTGTGAGAAACATGTTTCGAACAACCAGCTCTGTGTGCACAAGTAGGGAACTAAAATCGGGCGATTTGGCTCGGCAAATAGCCATCTCCAATGGCTACGAAATTGTAACCCCACGTGATAAGTTTCGAAGGAGAGCGGCGCTAAAAAATGAACGGTTTGGCCGAAACAAGGTCCCGTTCGTCTTGCCCTTCATTAGCGATAAAGCGATGCTTAAGAAGGCCAGATCTAGAGGAATCGGTAGCGGTAGTTGAAATACCACCGGTTACTCTACGTCGTCGGTTAGTTCGTAAACGCCTCATTGACCGTCTATGTGAAACACAAAATTGCGTAATCTGCCCTTATGGCAAGGACTGTGACTGCATGAGTTCAGGTACGAAATGCCTGATCTCTTGTAATGTTTGCGGAGACGAATATAGTGGCGAAACGGGCAGACCTTCATGTATCCGCATAAAAGAACAAACAGATGGCAAAGGAAAAGCATGGCAAGGCACGCCACTAGGACGCATAGGAAACAAAAGCATAGCGGAGACGATTTTGATATAAAAATCGCTCTCCTCGCACGGTATCCTAAAACACCAACACGCAAACTCCTCGAGGCTTTTGGATAAATGCCAAAACTCCACAATGAATAGCAGGGAGGAATGCCCTGAGAACACGCCCCTTACTTTCGCATCGACTGTTGATGGGCGGTGGTGCAGTCGTCAGCCATCTGCGACCCTGAACGGCTGTTCTTCATCGGTGAAAGACAGGTGAAAAGAGCGGTGGGTTTTTTCGAGAAGCCGTGATCTTGTAATCATCGCGCAGATTCTCATCTTTCTGTTTGTGCTGTTGAAGCGTTTGACCTAGTGAGTTGCGTATTAGTGTACCTATTAGTGTTCCAGGCTCTGAAGAAGGCGATTCTGCCGAAACGTCAGATACGGTTTTGTTGTATGTGTGTTATTGCATGGAAGTAAACGTATGCTGTTTAACAACCTCGCGATTGCTGAGGGAGTAAACGACGAATTCATAATCCAATACCGAGGTTAATAGAAAGTCGATCCTAGGTGCTATAAAAAGTAGAGTTTAAGGAATAAGATAAACAAGGTCAGTAGCCGTAATTTATGGAAGTGATCGATCGTGAGTGAGTTATAAGCGGTTAGGCAGTCTCTTGTGACTGTTATTAAAACGTTTGATGCAAATTAAGCTTGGTTTTCTTTGGGAGGATTCCACATTTCTAGAAGCGTCGCTGTTTCTTGTCGACAAAGCAACCGTAGACGTTACTCTTCCAGAAATTATTACAAAATGAAATTTAACACTTGCAGTTTCGATGTTCATTAAATCAGTTCAACTGACACGCACTAGCGAAATTTCTTCCCCTGCAAGTGCTACACGGTGGGCTGAGATCGATAGGAAGATTTCCTAACATATTTTAGAAAAGGTCATCAGCATTTAATTTCGGTGAGAGAATAACACGCGAAGTTTACTGAGTCTGCCATTGGGACAGATAAAATCACGGATAGGTTGTTGGGCTGTATAGGAGCAAATGTGGAACATTACTTTCGGAGGTTATCCCAAGTGACATCCCATTTATAATTCCTAGTTGATTCGTTGGTGATGGCTCCCATTTGCTTCACTGATGCTATCACGAGCAGAGTGCTAATTCGATTCTCCTCCGGGTTCAACAAGCCTATCATCCTTCCGGGGCAGAGAAATTAGTACCGGACTTTTCTAGGAAAAAAATCACTCTCTGCAACCCAATTGGAAATTTTCCAGCCCTGCTATCTCAGGACTTCAGGGAGAATTGCTAGACCGGATTTCTCCGACATTCAATATGAAGTGAAAATCCTCAAGAAATAGCCTAAGCCACACGTTAGAAGTTGCAAGATCTTCGTGGATGGCCGATGCGAGAAAACGAAACGAATGTGAGAAGTGCGGGGATTCACACAGTAGATATGAAGACAGGTCACATAAATTAGAACAAAATAAAAAGAAAAATGTCACTTCATTGGTAACTTTCTTCGGTATCATAAGTGCAAAGGATAAAGGGTTTGGTGTTGGTCAATACATGAGAGATGTTCCATACATTCCACTTTATCAAGCTTCGCTGAGGTGATTAAATGCATAGCACCCTATATAATGAGTTGTAGTGTCCTCCTTATCGAAGTAATCCTACTATTCTCTTAGACAAACTTTGTGCCTTTCTGCCGGGACCGTAGGGACAATGACATGGTGATCCAGAAGCGCAGGATGGACTAATGGCCCACATGTGTACTATAGAGTACATTTGGTCTCACGCTGTACGTAATCCAAAGGCACGTAAAATTAGAAGTACGTGATTTACGCTGCAGAGGCATGTGAATCTGGCGGAGCGAAGACGGGGAGCCTACAGCCCCTAGATATTTAGAACAAAACGATCAAATATAATATAAAACAAATAATAGGGCAAGAAAAACAGTCAAATTGCCAATAGTGACAATGGTTGGCTTTCAAATATTTTACGTGCAACACTAATCTAACCTTCTATCACTGAGAAGCTTTTCAAGCGCTTTCACGACCGCATCGACGGTGAGGTTGTCCTTCCTAAGATTCACAGCAATTCGATGCTTCTCGGCCAACTTTGCATTCTTCGGTTGGTCGCCAAACAACGGTATGGTGATTAGGGGAACACCAGCAATGATCGCCTCCTTCAAAAAAGTGCTAGAGGAACCCTACAATTTATGGATATCATTCGGACACTTTTATTATTTATACTTAAATCGACTAGAAACGACCACTACATATCCCACACCTAAAATATACTGCTTTTAGCAATTCGTTTCTTTGCTTTTACACAGACAATCAAAAAACACTTTTGGTTCGTTTTTTCAAACCTTAGCTTTCCATTTTGTAAAAGATCCATGTCATTCTGCTTATATTGCATAGATCATGTATTACATTCTATAGCTATACAAAATCAAAATTTCTTCCCACATTCCTCTATTAGTTTTTGTTTTTGTGCTAATTTGGGTCCGACTTGGGAATAAAAATAGAAAAAAAAATTTAAAGAACTCAAGAACACTTTCGTACAAGCTGGTATTTACGAAGAGATCTACGGTATTGGCAAATGATGGCTAACAACTAATAGTTTCAACGTTTTTCAACTTTCAAATGTTGTTTAATGGACAAAAGAGCAATTGATTTTCATTTAAAGACACGTTCATTGAACCAGGACCACTCTTAACGAAATGGAACTTTTGAGAAAAGTAGGTGCAAGTTTAGCAGCATTTTGGAAATACCTCAACTGAATTGGAGATTTGATAACACTGTTTTCATTGGTATACTCGATTAAAAAATCGTTTCTCTGTGGCAATCGTCCACGTTTTCTTCAAAGTTTTACTAGGCGCTCATAACATTTCCCAAAACCAAATTTTTTGTAGAAAAGCGATAACAGGCTCTTCATGCTTGACTGATAGAACACCATAACTTTTCTAAGATCTGCCATTATAACTGAAAAAATTTTACAATCGGAGTAGGCTCGACATTATGCAAAAAAGCTTGCTCTTATGAGAGAAAACAAAAATGATTCATGATGAGGAAGGGGTAAAGGCAGACAGCGAGTCTGGAAAAGTGAGGAATACATGAGGATACTGAGATAACCAGTGGAACTAAAAATAACAATGCAGAATCTGTTAGTGAAACATCAGATTTATAATTTGTCTATATTTCTTGTTCAAGGAATTATTACGGCTACCTGTAAGCTATTATACCCTCCATGGGAAATCAACGCTTTCGTTTTTGGATGTGCTAAAAGATTGGCTTGAGGCAACCATTTGAACACGTGCACATTTGAAGGAAGATGATCTGAAATAGCTACTTGAAAAGAAAGGAGTCAGAAAGGGAAGGATAGTTGTTGGAAGGCAAATTATATGCACACCGCTTCACATATAATAGTTTGAAAAAAACCAGAAGCATAAGTAGAAGTCTAGTGGCTTACCTTGCAAATCTGTTCCTTCGTATTTCATGACGAAGTGATGTTCCGGATAGTTCTTGAAGGCAGCAAGAAAGGCTTTTTTCCACGCCAGTGGCATCTTGTAGCTAGGAGTTACCGAGCCAAAGGAAAATACCACTAATCCCACACAGACGTCTATTATTCGTTGAAATTCCTAAGGCTATCTCTTCAGCTACAAAGTCAATCATTTGACTTCATTAACACATTACTGATAACCGTGATTTTCGGGGCCTGAGGCATGGAGCACTAGCAATTTTCCGTCTGTTGCGTACTGTATTGAAATTAATGTTTATGGTCCACTATGCTCCTTTCCCCATTAGCAATAGCCTTCCTGCCGTACTGGTGCAAAAAGACAATTAATCTGGGCTTAGGTGTTTATACTAGTACCGCAGAGCTGTCGCTCATAGTCGCTACCGGACTTGCTTTTTCTTTTCAAAGCCATACCTTATTTGAGGCAAAAGAAACTACGTGAAAAAAGCACTGAAATCAGTCTGCATTTCCACGTGTGTTAACAAGGGAAGTGAGATGAATAAAAAGAACGTACGTCAGGTAGAGGATTGGCATCCTTAAATCCGATGCCCACACCGCCAATGTTCACAATTTTCGATAACGTTGGTCTTGGTGCCTCGTAAAGTTCATTGGAGTTTACCATTACCTAAAACTATTACAATACTATTAGATATTAGGTCAAAACAAATGTGAGCTTTTGAGAAGATAAGATGCTTTATACGAGAAAAAAATTGTAAGCTTCACCAGTGGACATTCTTTGGCAACATCGACGATATCGGGAAAGTTTGGATCAACCAGCTCGCGGAAGAGTTCTGTCTCACGGTCGGCAAACATTCTAATATTAAAAAAAACTGTAGATTTTTTATCAAAACAATACTTGTCATAAAAAGAACAGTTTTTATCGTTTTAACGCCGGTAGTTAGCAATGGAAACAACCGAACGGAACAAAGTGCTAAAAGCTGAAGGCCCCACAGTAAACGCTTAAGACTACAAATCCACATTTATATTTTCACCTAATATGTGAAGAAAATCAAATGGTGACAGTGAATCTCGATTAGCCCTAGAACCCCGCAAGCCCTAAGCTTTATATTTTAACACCATTCACGTACACATGAAAACTAAAAGTGGTTCTAACGTAAGGAGTTGAGCAACACCTTAGCAACGCGCGATTCATTTAAATCTGTCAAGTATCATCGAAGTTATTGGATGCATATTTTGCCTACACAATGATTGACTACCCTATTGACGTACCATGTCAATGTTCTTTGCTTTCACCCAACTGGTCTTTCACATTTACTGTGCGGATGCCAGCTCTTCTCTCATTCGATTCGTTTCCGCGCATCCATCACCCACGAAGGTCTTCCAACTTTTTACGTGTACTTTCGGCTGCTGCTTGAGGAGTTCCCTTTCATCATGAATGTCGTTGAATGTTGGTTGAATTGATGTTGATTCTTCCTGGAGTCTTGAGGTAACCCGGCTACTTGTATTTGGCTACCCGCTCCCACTTGTATTGCAAAGAGTGATCTTTCTCCCAGAAAATTCCGCTAGCAATTTTCCGACCGCGGCGGGATGGAAGGCTTGGAGAGCCGGGAGTAAAATCGAACCAGAAGTGTGCCCGTGATGATCGACATCACCACCACTATACTGCCCTGCCCTCGTTATTGCATCCATATCCACTGTTTTCCCCAAAATTTCATTGTTTTTATCTTGTCAAATGGGTCTGGCCGCGGAGAATCTGGTTTGCCAGTGTAGCAAGCTTATGTGTGTATAATAGGGTTACTCTACCTACAGCTCTATATGCACCTGTTTACAGACGTAAATCCTAAAATTAATATGAACGCTACATGGATATAGAATTAGATCTACATAGTACTCTGAACCAACTTTTTCCAAAAAGCGATAATCAACGTATGTCCAACGAAACTCTTCACTCTTTCCACGAAATTCATCTGATCGCTGCTCTCCATCATCAGTGCTAAATTCTTGCACTACACTCTTAACGAAGTGAGAAAACGATGTGACTTACGTGGTACGTAACTTGGTAACGTCGGCACTCCCATGTAATGTGCAATAATATCCAGTAAACCACCACTGTAAAACAAAATAGAGTACGCCTCAATTGAATATTTTTATTTGATATCTCATTAGAAAGCGAACGACCTGCTGAGCCAAATCCACGATGGGATCTTTGCATAGTGAACGAGGCCGATTGGGCACACATCAAAAATATGAGTGAAGGCAAGGTCGAATTTCTGCAGTAGAAGCCAATTCAAGAATTCCTTGTTCTCTACAACCTCTGAAATTAATCGAGTTTCGACGAACAGCTTTACTAAACCATTTCTTTGCTTGAAAAATCACCGATTTAAAAAACTTTGGTGCTATTTTTCTACAAAACTTCCATATTTTCTACTATTTTTTTATGCCATTAATGAGATGTTTCTAAAGTGACCCTGCTGTCCCTAACCGAACGTCTTCAAAAAGAGGATAACCTTTCTTTTAAATAAGTCGTCTAGTCTCTGTATCAATAGGGTAGCTAAACAGTTGGAGAATTTATCTATATGTTTTTAAGAACCGATCTTGTTGAGCTGCAGCGAAGTTGGTATAAGTTGATGTTGTTGTTCGATGGCTGACATTTCTTCGACTTCGCCTTTTTCAGAGCCTGGACGTATTTTATATAAGAATAGTCTTATGATTCGGTGAAAAAATCATAGTATTAATGAAGACCTAACATAAAAATAAACGCTCTATTGGTCAAAAACTACTCACCCTTCTACTACGAGTGGGACGTCCCGTACAATGTTTACATGGGATGATGAGCGAGACCGACTCAGAGGTCAAAGAATTGTTTTGAAATAAGACGCCAGATTACGTGCGATAGTGACGCATTCGTCTTTCCGGTTCATCTTTGGGTTTTTGGAATTTATCCGAAACGTCTCAAGAGTGTTGCACGTTGATGTTTTCATTCTTACACTAGCATAAGCGCACTCATGTCAAAATCACCCCTGTTGTGCGTCTCTGCCCTGAGGAGCATTTTGCCCAATTCTAAGCTTTCCATCTAGGTGTTCTTTTATGCAGACACAAAGTAGTCTACCCGTTTACCTAATGTATTCCTAACCGCATGCCTTCCATGAGATCAAGTATATTGTGCCTGGACTCATGTAATCCCATTCTCTCCAGTTAGGACAGATCACGCAGTTTTCTGAGCTGCACGAACGATCGTAGAGGCGGTTGCGCGCTAATTGACGGCGTAGTGTTGGATGCGAGGCCAATAAATGCCACATAACCTTCAAGACCACTTCTTCTAAAGCACATCTTTAGAGAGGAGACATAGTTCACTAGTATATTTTCACTAGTTGGTTTGCGCACAGGAGAAGAGGAAAGGAAGGAAACGTCAAACTTGGTACGAAAAAATAGCCATTTTCAGTGGCTACGAAGCAGGCACCACTCGGCTCGAACCAAAAGGTAGGGTCATACCCCAAAATGATGTTTCAAACCTAAATAAGACTCCCTTCATGATACCTTTCATATTAAGTGAAATAAGTTGCACCTTTAACAGGTGTCTTAGAAGAAGTGCTCTTGAAGGTTACATGGCGGTCACTGACCTCGCATACAACACTCTACGCCGTCAATTAGTCCGCAACCGCTTCTATGATCGTTTGTGTAGCTCAGAAAATTGAGTGATCTGTACCAAGGAGAGAGATGGGGATTACATGAGTTCAGATACAATACAGTTGATCTCAGTAAGGCATGCGGTGAGCAATACATTAGGGAACCGGCTAGGCCACTTTGTGTCCGCATAAAACAACACCTAGATGAAAAATTTAGATACTGATAAAGTGCTTCGCTAGGTACGCATAGAGCACAAAAGCACAATGGCGATGATTTTGAAGTGACTGTCCGGATCCTAACACACCAATCAAAAACATCAACGAGCAAGACCCTTGAGACGTTTTGGAAAGATTTCCAAAATCTAAAGATGAACCGGAAAGACGAACGCATCACTATCGCACGTGACCTGGCGCTTTATTTCAAAATGATTTTTTTGACCCGTGGGTGGCTCTCACTCGTCATCCCATGTGCACAACACACGGGCGGGCAGTCCTACTCGTAACTGAACGGTGAGTACTTTTTAATCAATATAGCACTTATTTCTATGTCAGATCATTAACAATATTGTAGATGTTTAACCGAATTATTAGGTTATTGTTACATGAAATACGTCCAGGCTCTGAAGAAGAAGAAATCGCCAAAACGCCAGCCATCGACCAACAACGCCAACTAGAACGACAACAACGACAGCGACAACTTGTATCAACCTCGCATTAGCTCAACATCATCAGTTCATATGAACATACAGACATTCATGAAACCGACCGTCTTTTAACCTCGATATTAAATTAACCAACATGTGTTTATAATGTTGTGCTTACACGAGATTGACAACGGTGCTAACGTTTTTTACGAAACGTTGGCCGAATAAACAGTTTCGTTAACCCTGTGTGAGTCCAGCATTGTAAACACATACACCGATTATTTATGCCAGAATCTATAGAATGTCGCTCTTTTAGATTGGAGATTTCTTATGTATCCAATAATTTTAAGGAAAGTATTAAATTATTTTACTGCGACATGTCTCCGTTAACAGCGACGTCATCTTCACCATGCGTTCTCGAAACCGTCGATCCCAAACGGGAAGATCCTTAAGGAAGAATGTCTTGTGCACGGATACTATTAACAATCTAGATTCGGACAGAAAAAATGGAAACCTCGAATATAAACTGTTTTTGTTGCTCTTCGAAGTCCGCCTTTTTGATTCCGAAGGAAGCATTCACTTTGTGAACTACAAGCGTTGTAATTAGCGCCAAAATATTAATTAACACAAATTACAAAAATAACTTCCAGACTTGGAAAAAAACCAAGAATGGCAAGCATAAAATCGTTTTTAATGAGAGGCCATTCATTCTTTTTCATTTTCATTCAAGCCATTTGTCTATGTCAAGTATTCCACAACTGTCAGTAGTCGGTTGCTGGGTCGTGACACGTACTTCAAAGTCTTCCCCGTTATGTCTCTGGGTCCTATGCGTGCCTAGTGGGCAATTTGGTCGACGTCTGCCGGCTAGGTGTTCTTCTATGCGGACACAAAGGGGGACAAGAATCGAAAACACAAGCGCGCAAAACTCTCGAGGCGTTCTGAATTAATTCCAAGAATCCGAAAATGAACCGCAGGGAAGAATGCCTCATTATCACGCATGATATTGGGCAGTATATAATCCTGTTATTCTGATGGGAGGTGTACATTACGCTTCCATATGAATTCTGTGCGGTTGGTCTCCACGTGACATATTTAGTGGAAGACTCATAGACAGCGGTGAGTGTGCGAAGCTGTGTTCAACGTGATTGAAATCTTGGTTTAGAAAGAAAGAATACATATTGATTAGTGATGCCGAGGTTCAAGGAAAGTCGGTTTCGAAATATTACTACGCTTTGTGCTAGCTGATAATAACACCGACTTCTGCACGATGTACGCGATGATTACGTCCGGGAGAAAAACAAGTTGTTATCACCGGACATTATCGTTATATCCACCATCAGCATCGTGTATAAAAGGGCATCACTGAGTGAGGATGCCTCATTCGAGGAGATGGCTCGCTGAAGAAGACCTGACTCGACACGAAGGCGAAGCTGCCACGTCGAGACGAATAACAAGCGAGGACCATCCACTCGGATCATCGTCTCTGAGGAAGATGATGACGTCGAAACGTTAGCCGAAAATAAACATCATTATCAATCTCGTGTAAGCTCATCAAAGAAAGAATACATCTTGGTTTAGAGTTTCTTTGTTTGGTTATGGAGGCGTCTGGCCGAGTAGATTGCTCTCAACTTGACCTTTCCAGGCTCTGAGGAGGGCGAAATCCGCCGAAACGTCAGCTTATTCGTGAATAAAGAATAAAAATAACATCTCGCGTTTGCTCAACAAGGATGCGAAAAATTACATCTGCGAGAGTATGCTCGATGACAATATAACCTCTCCACCTTTGAAAAATAACGAAATGAGGCTTACGTCGATCTTACAAGAAGTCGAAAAATTACTGGTTATAAATACTCTTTGAGTTATCACAAATTCAAAACCTAGTTGAATGTGTGGGCGAAGTACAGCGGTTAGAGATGTGTAATTTAATACACTGGTTTGACAGCCTCCGGTGCCAATCAAGCCTCTAATGTTTCGGTGTTAGCGAATTGGAGGCAGAATTGAATGGGAAAAGCTCCATTTAATTCGGAAAAGCCGATAACTGTTTGTGTTGAAAGCGTGGACGATTCCTAGCAGAGCTATCTTAGCATCGCACTGAGAATAAGTTCGAAGCAAACTGAACGATATTCTGAAGTAGACAGAATTTGGGAAACAGCGAAACCAAGCACAAGGATCCGAAAACTTTCGTGGATGACTGGTACGAAGAAACGATTCAGATATAGGAAGTGCTTGAACATAGCATGTGACTGGTTCTGGTAAAAAGTGGAGGAGAAGAAAATTGCTCCCTTATAGCAACACGGGTTCTTTTTGATCATGGAAACAAAAGTGCTAAAGATTCTCATTTTCGAAAAGGTTCAACGGGTCACATGCTTTTAACTGCTTCCATGATCTTCACATCTTCCGAGTTTCGATCAACCACAGCTGAGATCATCACCATCGTAACATCGTGATCGGCTTTCGCCAGCGTCTCTGCCACTCTGGCATTAAAAAGCACCTGAAGAATAGCACATTTTCTCACTTCTAATCCTGTACCTATTCAGAGAGACAGTTTTCTCGCTTTGCTTTATAGTTTTGAGCTCTTTTCTTCTCCATTTTCAAGTGTTTTACTTTCACTACATAGTTTCGACTCCTCTTAAGCATTTTGAATGTGTTCTATTCTGTTCCAGTGTTTTGATCCATGCCTGAATTTCAGTTTCGCGTTTAGTCTTAATTCACGTGACAGAACGGGAATGTAAATTAAAATGGGAATCTTGTTCCCACCTTACCCACCTGGCTGTTGGCAAGGTCAGGTACAAATAGGACCATCTTGAAGGCGCTAGTTTGTTGAGAAGTGAACGACACGAAAAGGAACAAACACAACGAGTACATCCCTCCTAATGCTGCGAAGATTGACGTGGTCCTACAGTGCGATTTGCTCGAAAATGACCGCTAAAAAGATGGTAATGAGGTCCGTTAAAGAACTGAAACTGTACCAACATCATAGTTTTGCTAACGTTCATGGACTTTATAAAACCATAGAGATCTTTATACGAAGTGCAAAGTTTATAGTGTTCTACCTCGCTGAATGGTAGAGTT